GGGGGGGCAGGTTGTTTAATGGATGAGTGACTGCTGCGACAAGGTTAAGGGAACCAATTTCTGAGACTTCACTTCCTCACCATGGTTCTCCTCTTCCAGCAGCCAAGCCCTGCTTGTAGTACATGCACATGCATCCCACACCCAGCAGTGGGCAGCATCACGGGATCCAATTAAATGAGACACACATACTCAAAAAACGCACGAGCACTTTTTGACTGTATTGACTTTTTTGGGGAGGGGAGGTTTGGCATTGTAGTACCCCAATTCACCTGAAGGTGGCTCAAAGGAAACCATTGACTTTTCTATTGTCGTTTCCAAGGTGTGTGTAGGTCTAACTGAATTCAGACACGTACGTTAATGTCCCGTCTTTTACTGCAAAAAAGTGATTAATCTATAGAAATTTCTAATTGTTTGTATTACAAAATTTCACCCTCTTAGAAATAATTCAATTTTTATTTAATTTTTTTGTGTCAATGGTAAATATAGAAAAAATCCCCAGGCTTGTACTGAATCTTTAAAATGTGTACTCTAATGCCCTCTACTGTCAGTATTAGGTAAAACATCAGCAGATGAGATTTTTTCACAGCAGTTTCAAGGTCCTTGTTTACACATGGACCCAGAGCACAGATACTGCGTTAGTGTCACACACTGCTGCTGGGAGACAAAAAAAGGTGTTATTTCAAAAGCAAATATTGACAGGATTTCAGTGAATCTGTGACAGGAAGAATAAGAACATACATTATGTATGGACTCTATCTCCTCAGACTCCTCTGTATGTGGTCTTGGCTCTTTTCATCCTCCCTCCGTGTCCACTGAGGTGAAGCTGAGCGTGTGATGACACAGAGGCAGCGGTGACAGAAACATCTCTCTGCTCACACAGCCTCAGTGGAACGGAGAACGCGTAGAACCGGCGTGTTCTCTCAGGGTACACAGAACACCACCATTTTCACTTATGTTGTCCATGTCCATGTTGCTCTGACTAATTTCAAGAGCAGAGGTTCTCAAACTGGGGTACGCATTCCCCCGGGGTATTCTGTTTTATATTTAAACAAAAAATATGTTTAAAAATTTTATTATTTAATTTAGTTAAAGGAATTTACTTTGACTTTCTCAGCAATATGAAGTTTTTAACAATTGACTAATAAATAGTTACATAAATAAAATACATAATTTGCATAGAAATATAAATAATAGAAATGTATCAAGTGGACAGTTTTCATTAGAAAAAATGTTTATATATAATATAATAATATTGATATTTAAAGATCTTTAGGGGCCGTCATAATTTTTTCAGTTGATTAAAACATTTTTTTTAATGTTCTTTCACAATATACCTGTTAGGTCTTAAATAACAATTCTAGCTTAATATAAGAAATCTTTGATGCAGTAATGATGATGATTTTGTTGGCAAAAGAGATAAAAAAAATTAAAAAGAAAAAAAAGCCCTCCTTTAATTGTATGCAGTTGAACTCTTCTTGACTGACTCCTGTTCAGTTGAATCCTTCCTAATGACACAGTGGAGAGTTGTAACATCGATCACATGCATTACTCAAATGGCCTGTTAGTGTCACCTGCCGACCATTACAGCCTCCAGAACAAGGGCACTAAAGTGATGAAGCGGACAGTTAACTGGACCTTGAAGCTCACACACAGTCGTTATAATTATAATAATCAGAACGGGTCGTCGTGATGATGAGAAACCACAGTCCTCCCTGCTCCTCAGGGTTCTGAGGTCACTCATCTTTATATTTCCATGATGACTTTACCACAGGGCGTGGGTCGAGTGGGAAAAGTGAGAATTTGTACAAAGGCATTGACAGAGACATTGACATAGGGCAGGTGCCCCAATCCCTGGTCTGGGGACCGTTGCGGGTCCATAGGTCATTTGGTACTGGGCCGTAATGGGACACAGTGTAAGAATGTACTTCAGTTTTACTAATTCAAAAAGAATCCAGTCATATTCCTTTACTTTGTTCACTCAAAGATAATCAGAACAGCAGATTCAGACTCTGATACTGATACTCTGATACTGATACTCTCATACCACAGTGGTTCTCAATTATGTTCTGTCATGCCCCAACATGGGGACAGAAATGTTCCCATATGGGGACAAAAATGGACCCCCCCAAGGGGACCTTTAAATGCAGTTGGTCACACTCTCTCAGTACCGGCCCTTTAAGAAGAACTACTTTGTCATGATTTGAAAATTATTTCATCAGTATTTGTTCTGAGATCATGTCTCACTCTGATGTTGGATTTCTTCTGGTCTTGGTGATGCATCTTTTTTCTGCTGGGACTCTGACGGCAAAACAATCTTAAAGTGTGAAATCATTTCATCGTGGTTTTTCCTCCATACCATGAAACTCTGACACCAGACTAGTGATGAAACAGCGAACTTTGTCACTGCACACCACACATGGGACGACAACCTCCGAACACAGAATTTCAGCTGTGTGTTTTGTGTAAGCCGTCGGTAGAATCGGAAAGAATCGGTGGGCAGTGGTGGCCTAGTGGTAAAGGAAGCGTACTTCGGTCCGGAAGGCCCTAGGTTCGAATCCACCAACTGCCAGGTTACCACTGAGATGCACTGAGCATGGCATTGTCCTCAAGCACTGCTCCCCGGGCGCTGACCACGGCTGCCCACTGTTCACTTTGGGTTAAATGCAGAGGTTAAATTTCGTTGTGCATGGTGTGCTGTGCTGTGTCACAATGACAAATAAAGATAAGTTTAAGTTTTTAAGTTTAAGTTTAACTGAACGCCTGCAAAATATATGAATACAATTTCCTAGAAATCCGATATAATTGCAATAAAATCCTATATATGTTTTGGAGGTTGAATCAATACAATATAAAGACAGTAAAGAGGATCATAATCTAATAGAATGAACTGTACGGTTGTATTGTTAGAGTGACCAATATTTCATCATCACAATAAACTCTAATGGCTTTGTTTGAATGAACAAGTAAAAAAAACAAATTGTGATTTATTTTTATCTCGACGATATTATGTGGTACAGGCGTACTGTCATCAAACACACACAGACACACATACACACAGACCAACAGACACACAGACACACACAGACACAAACACACAGAAACATACAAGGAACTTATTGGTATAGTATTTTAC